TTGGGGGGGAGCTGGCGGGGCGGGGGACGGTCAGGGGGAGAGGGTATTTTTTTGTGTTTGGTGGGAAGATTTTTAACTATAAATTTATTTGATACAGGGCTAGTCAGATTATCTATTTCTTTAAGACAAAGTTTCAAGGAATTTGTCCATTTTTATCTGAGTTGTTAAATTTACTGCCTTAGAAGTTAGTCATAATACTCCTTTATTATCATTTTAATGTTTGTAGAATCTATACTGATGCTCCTCTCTCATCCTGGTATTGGTAATTTGTGTCTGTGGGTAGATATTTATCAATTTTATTGGACTTTATTTTTTAAATGACATGGTTTTGATTTCACTGATCTGTTTTCTATTTCAGTGATTTCGGCTCATATTTATCAGTACCTTTCTTCTATTCACTTTGGGTTTCAATTGCTCTTCTTTTTCTAGTGTATAAAGGTGGGAACTTAGGTCATTGAGTTGAGACCTTTCTTTTTATCTAATAAAAGTGTTTAGCGCTTTTATAAAATATTTTTATATTTAAGTGCTGCTTAAGATGCATCCCACAGATTTTGATGTCTTGTTTTGTTTTTATTACCTTTTAATTTCTTCTTTGATCCACATTTAATTTAGAATTATGTTGTTTAGTTTCTAAATATTAGGAGATTTTCCAGATATCTTTATATTATTGATTTCTATGTTCATTCCATTGTGGTCAGAAAAATGCTTTGTACAATTTTCATTCTTTTAAATGTATTGAGATTTGATTCATGGCCCAGCCTATGGCCTGGCTTGATAATGTCCCATGTACTCTTGAAAAGATTGTGTATTCTGCTATTGTTGGGTGGTGCGTTCTATAAATGTCAGGTCAGGTTGGTTGGTTGATAGTGTTAAGTCATATATCCTTATTGATTTTTCAAACTTGGAAATTTTTCAGTTATTTCTTCAAATATTTTTCTGTCCCCCTCTCCACCTTTTATTCCTTTCATTTTGTTTCTGTGACTCCATTTTGTGTGTGTGTTGCTTTTTGTTTTTCCTTTTAGTAGTTTCTATTGTTATGTCTTCAAGTTTATTCATGTTTTATTTCGTCTTATCATCTGTTAATCCCAGCCAGTATTTTTCACCTCAGACTTGTATTTTTCATCACAATGAGATCACATTGGGTCTTTTTATATCTTCCATATGTCTATTTAGCATGATCAATCTTTCCCCTTTTGAACATATGAAGTATATTTATACTGTTTTAATGTCCTTGTTCTGTAATTATAACAATTGTGTCATTTCTGTTTGATATTTCTTTTCATTATGGGATTGTATTTTACTGTTTCTTTGTACTCTGGTAATTTTTGTATCTCAGGCATTTTGAATTTTAAGTTGGTAGGTACTGGAAACAATATATTTATTTATATTAATAATATTTACTATATAAAGTATGTATAACATACATTCATTATATATATATACACACACACACACACACACACACACACAGAGGGTACCAAAAAATGTATACACATTTTAAGAAAGGAAAACTGTATTAAAATTGTAATAATATATACC